ATTCAGGGAAATCGGGATTGGAGAGAGAGAGAGAGAGAGAGAGAGAGAGAGAGAGAGAGAGAGAGAGAGAGAGAGAGAGAGAGAGAGAGAGAGAGAGAGTTGACTTCTTCTTCCTCTTCTTCTTCTTCTTCTTCTTCTTCTTCTGCTTCTGCTTCTGCTTCTTCTTCTTCTTCTTCTTCTTCTTCTTCTTCTTGATTTGACATTTTGTGGCAGACATTGATTGGACATTTGGGGGGGAGACTATTTTTGGACTTCGCTATCGCGATCTTGGTCTTCTCCCTCCTCTCCATCTTTGTCTCGCCTCTTCCCCCATCTCCTCATCCATGGTATCTCCCCATGTGCGTGCTCAAGGAGGGACCTTTCTTCTATGTATGCGGTCTCCCCTCTCACTCTCAAATGTGTGGTGTATGATGGGGTGTCGCGTCAGTATCTGACAGGTCATATCTTTCAGTCTTCCGTTGCACTACATTGTACTATTTCCGTACGTATTAGGACGTACATGACGCTTCATTGTCCATTTGCGTTTTCTCACTTTGCGGATCCTTGGCTCTATTTACATCGCTCGATCAAGCATTTATCACCATGCTCTTATCATCCCACATACACCTGTTGTATCCAAAGCCCCCCAGCCCGATCCTCTCTACCCAGGATCGAACTACAACCCAAACCAGCGCTATCCTCACTGCGATGTAGTCACGGCAATGCACCAAGTCATTCAAACACCAGCGCGAGTGAGGCGATATCTGAACCAGCTCTGATACCAATTTGCAAGGAAATTGAACGATAGGGACAGACAGAAAGCCAAATTGCAACATCACATTGTCGACCAGATAGTCAAGTCCGAAGCAGAACCAAGAAAGCACTGAGATACAACTTCATACAAGCCAAATAAAAGCAATACAGTGAACTCAAATGTCAACGTCAGCCTCGTCCCGCCACCATCTACAATGTATCCAATGCCACTCTTCTTGATTGGCGATCAGCGCCCAGTCTACACCTGCTCAGTACCTATACCAGCCTACCACTAATGCCGATGCAACCAGCGATCACTTCCAGCAGAAGAACAAATGTACATGGCGACGTCGCCGCAGACACCAGGTATGTGTCTCTTCTATCCCTTCTCCCATCCATCGTCCCCCACAGCGCGCAGCTCCCGACTCCCGAAGACCACCATCACCATCACCAGCAACAGGCAAGGCTAGCCCGGCTATGGCTGGCTCCCGCCCGCTGCCCAAGCAGCACCCCTCACTTCGGAGTCCCCGTGTGCACCCCAGCCCTTTCGCAGACAACCAACGCCCAGCATGACAGCATGGCCGCATGCTCATGCAAGACCAGAAATGTCTGGCTGGGTGCTGGGCACTTTCCTATATGGAAAGTGCTGCCCTGCTTGAGCTGCCTGGGCCTGGCGTCCAAGTTCCCAGTAGCTTGACGTCGGACCAGAGTGTTTGTGCCCAGGCCCAGATAGTGGCCTGGGACCGAAGCAGGTCGACTTGTCCAAGTGTGCGACGTGGCTCATGGGTGGAAAGGTCATAAAGTTGCTTTAATAGGCTTATTAGGATTCTTTGTTATATGGGTTTGTTATCTTGGAGTTAACTTATTAGGAAAAGGACTTCATAGCTATGGATGGTTTAATTAAAAAAGTGYCATTTTAATAAATCACTAAAAATCCTACTTATGTTTTTGAATATTAAATATAAATAAATTAACATAAACGAGGTATTATGTATAGGTATTATATATATAATATAGGTATTTATAATATAGGTATTATTGTCTATCTATATTCTTTTGTTATTACATATCTTATTGTATATTTTTTTATATTACATATCTTATTGTATATTATTATATTCGGATTTAATTGTCAAATAATACAATTTAAAAATAATCGAAAATTGAATCGAAAATTAGAGAACATTCATTCTCAATAATAGAAATAGCAGATTCTGCAGCAGCTACAGTTAATACGAATAAAGCAAATAATTGACCCATCATGTCATCTAGATAAACAGAAAAGACTAAAAAGTTCAAATTGACAGCAAGTAACATTAACTCAATTGACATTAACATAATAAGGATATTCTTTCCATTTAAACAAGATTCCCCAAATACCTAAAAGAAAAAGAATCATTGAAAATGTTTTGTGCTTCGCACCTGCTGATTGAGCTCCAGTTTAAGCTCTTCAGATAAGAATTGAGTCACCAACCTTTTGATCTCGACAGCATCTGCTCTGGATCCTGCTGTTATGATAATAACAAAATCATCAGCATATCTTACATAGAAGAGTCTTTTGAAACCCGGATCCATTGGATCTGATGAAGTCTTCCATAGGGTTCGCCGGTTGCCGGTTTTTGTCGTTTGAAGAGCGGCCGAAAGGCCTGCTTCCATGTTGCAATCTGAGAGAGCTTGGAAGGCCCACGAGGTCGTGGTCACACAGCGAACGGGAAGCCCTGTAACCAACTGGCGCCCAGTAACCGTCTGGTGCACCCAGCGCCAAAGAATGAGGTAAAAAACACACCGAAGGGCAAAATGCAGGCCCACCTTCGCTTAGGGCAGGCGCAATGCTTGCTCGAGGCACCTTTGCTTGTTAGACGGGGAATCCAAGACCTTTATGAGGGGCTTATTCCTCGCACAAGCATGTGTGTGATAAAAAAAAGTTTGGATTCTTTCCCAAATGCAACATTGTGAACAGTATTTAAACCTACGCTAACCCTTTCGTTTTCTCTAGTCTTTATCTTGATTGCATGTGACGACCCTTATCCTTATAATGATATGCTGATTACTTCTGCCCTTCGTTGTGATGGTTGCGTTCCATGGGCCATAGGACCTGGTGGCTGTGTATGTTACCGAGTTCTTGCTCCATTCACATATGTCAGGTGCAGATCCGCCAGAGTTCTCAGGATACATCCAACGCGGAGGATCTACTGTTAACGGGTATGGTCGAGATAGTGCAGGCAGCTTATCGCAGCAAAAGCACTCTGGATCACGGCTTGGTGGGAGACCAATCTACAGTCGAAGCAACAGTGCCTCTAGGGTGAGTCACATCAAACTCACTCTCGTTGAGAAGGCTGCACATGTTTCGGGCGGTTCAAGGGGTTTGCTCTTTGCCTTTCCTCCATGAAATCGTTTTCAAATTGCAGACGTGGTGTCCCCTGAAGATCTGCCACTCAAAATGAGTGGATCCCTCAGAATGCCGAGGTGATTTAATTAGAAGACATGAATCTATGGTCTCCCATTTGATAGCTACCTCCTATGTGTTGCACATATGGTAATGTAAGCGGCTCTATGAAAGGAACTGCTAAGGTCTGGATGCATCTTAAACTTGAAATCCTCGCAGGTGCAGTAACACACACTTCACCGCCCACCCTTTCCCGAAAACAGGTCCCCTGCTTTCCCTTTTTCCGCACACACTTCACCCCCAACCCTACCCAACAAACAGGTTATGTAGTGACCTGTTTGTTGGGGATACCACGACACTCGGTTCATGTCGGACTTTTGGTTGGCGCTCATCAAACGATGGGGCTTATCTCTCAAGCCGAGTTCGGTTCGCCACCCACAAACGATGGCGTCCAGGATCTGATTCGACATTTTGAGGCAGAGATTGATTGGATATTCGGTTGGGAGCTAGGCTACCAGCCGCGCCGCCCGGGTCACGCTATTTTCCCGGGCGGCCCGGTCGTGCAAGGACCAGCGAAGGTCCCAGCCAACAAAAAAAAAAAAACGAAAAACTATGTTATGCAGAAAAATAAACTGAACAACTTTTGCCTCAGGGTCACATCGAAATTCTTTACCAAATTTACATAAAAAAAAATAATTAAAAAATCTTTTTTTTTTTTTTCCCCTCTTTGGCCCGGCCAGGCAAGTATACCCGGGCCACTCTGGTACCCTAGGTTGGGAGACTATTTTTGGACTTCGCTATCGCGATCTTGGTCTTCTCCCTCCTCAACATCTTTGTCTCGCCTCTCCCCTATCTTCTCATCTGTGGTACCTCCCCCATGTGCGTGTTCAAGGAGGGACCTTTCTTCCATGTATGTGGTCCCTCCTCCCTCTCTGACATGTGTGGTGTATGATGGGGTATCGTGTCAGTATCTGCCAGGTCAGGTCATATCTTTGAATCTTCCGCTGCGCTACATTGTGCTGTTTCATATGTATCTGATGTACACTGCTTGTTGATGCTTTGCTGACACTGCATTGTCCATTCGAGTCCTTTTCATCACTTTGCGGATCCTTGGCTCCACATACATCACTCAACTGAGCATGTATCGCCTAAACATCATCGCTGAAGACCTTTGATGTCATAGGGGGCAGTGGTGCTTCGATGAAGATGGGAATGCCACAAGCTGTGTGTTATTTGTTATTTCTCACTTGGTTTTGTGTTTGGCCTTGCTATCTATCGCACATGGTCTGTTTTGTTTCTCCCCTCCCCAATGCCTTCTGCTTGTAGTGGTGTTCGTTGTATCTCACATGGTCTGTTTTGTTTCTCCCCTCCGAGTGCCTTCTGCTTACAGCGGTGTTCGTTGGGCTCTGCTTGTGTTTTGTGCAGGTTGACACAGTGGATGAGAGTGGAATGTCCGTGGGGTTGGATCAGCGCCTTGCAAAGCTTGTTGTTTCATACATTATGTCCTCTGCTAGCGGACCATTGATATTTCAGCGTCTTCTTGCGAATGTTCGGTCGTATACATTGGTGAGTTGAGCTCCCGTGGACTCTGTGTGCCTTTTACCCAAAGCCTTCTCAAAATGACTTTTTGTTCGATTGCATGATTCTGTAAGCAGTTGCCATGGCCCAGCTTAGGAAGTGCGAAGTGTTGTCCACCTGAGCACGTCTCCTCCCTACACCCAGCTGCAGATTCGGTGTGAAATGACCCTCAACATTCGTTGTCCTTCCCAGCATGTGTGGAGAAGCTCTCATGCATTGCCCCTCAACACTCCCCTTCCCCATGCCATGCACAGGCAGCACAGTATGATACCCTATGACGGTGGTCCCTTCAGCAATGCATGTATAAGATCCTGTGCACATTGCATCTTCAATGCAATGCTGTCACAGCTATTTATCTCCCTCAAAAATATGCCCTGACACTCGCCCACAATCCGTCCTTGTGTGGAAAGCTTCACATGCGCCCCTTTGACACTCCCTCCTCCCAACATTCAAGGCAAGCAGGTTGCAACGCTTGATCCTCCCTGGCTTTCCCTATGTCTAAGGGACTGCGCGTTATCTGTTGATAGTCCCCATCATTCCCTGACATGCTGAAATAACACTGCCTTCGATAATCCCCTTGGGTTTTGGGAAGGCCTCTAGCGGCCTCTAGCGGCCTGAAGGGGGGGGGGGGGGGGG